TCATATATTGGTAAATCTAAATGAACATTGACCATATTAAAACAATGATGGTAATGTTTTGTGGATATGTACATACATATGTGTATGTGTAATAAATGTATAATTGTCAATTGTATTAATTCAAAAAATTAAAAATAGTTGATATATACTCTACAATTGAAAGTATAAATTTAAAATCCAGCAACAATAGCTTATAAGTCGGGGTGGTAAAATGGAGTTTAAAAGGTCTTGTGTTATCTGGGAGGAGGGTATCAACATTAGACTTTGGTAAGTCAAAAATACAGGTTATGATGGATGAAACTGGAGGACATTATGCTGAGTGAAATAAGTCAATCACAAAAGGACAAATATTGTATGAGACCTCTATTGTAAAAACCCATGAAATAGTTCACACACAAAATGTAACAATCTTTGGTGGTTACCAGGGATGGGAGGGGTGGGGGGGGAATACTAAATAGGCAATAGATAAGTGGTATCTTGGGTGAAGGGTGAGACAGTACACAATACAGGGAAACTAGCACAACCTGTACAAGGAAAGGTCATGGAAGCCGCATAGACACATCCAAACTCCCCGAGGGACTGAATTGCTGGGCGGAGGGCTGTGGGGACCATGGTCTCGGGGAACATCTAGCTCAACTGGCATGACACAGCTTATAAAGACAATGCTCTACATTCTACATTGGTGAGTAGTGTCTAGGGTCTTAAAAGCCTGTGAGCGGCCATCTAAGATACTCCACTGGTCTCATCCCTTCGGGAGCAAGGGAGGATGAAGAGAACAGGATACAAGGAAAAGATTAGTCCGAAGGACTAATGGTCCACAGCTACTGAGGCCTCCACCGGACTGAGTCCAGTACAGATAGATGGTGCCCGGCTACCACCACTGACTGCTCTGACCAGGATCACAACAGAGGGTTCTGGACAGAGCTGGAGAAGGATGGAGAGCATAATTCTAACTCACAAAAAAAAGACCAGATTTACTGGCCTAAAGGAGACTGGAGAAACCCCGAGAGTATGGCCCCCAGACACCCTTTCAGCTCAGTGGTGAAGTTACCTCCGAGGTTCACTGTTCAGCCTGGGAGTGGACAGCCCTGTAAAACCAAATGAGACTAACGAGGTACAGGAGTCCAGTGACAACGGCCAGAAAGCAGAAGGGGACAAGGAAGCTGGTGATAGGGAACCCAAGGTTGAGTAAGGATATTGTTGATGTGTTGTGAGATTGTTAACCGTTGTCATAGGGCAACATGTGTAGTAACTGTTAAATGAGAAACTATTTTGTTCTGTAAGCCTTCATCTTAAGTGAGAATAACAGCACAATTGGAAGAGTGTAGTCAGTGTCACTGAACTGCGTATGTAGAAATTTTTGAAACGGTGTATCTTTGGCTATGTGTATTTTCACCAAAAAAAAAAGGTTGAGACGTTAGAGGGTTAATATGTTGTGGGGTTGTTAACCAATGTCATAAAACAACATGTGTACTACTGTTTCATGAGAAACTATTTGTTCTGTAAGCCTTCACCTGAAGTACAATAAAATATTAAAAAAAAAAAAATACAGGTTATGAATTCTAGGGTAACCACTAAAAGGCTAAAAGAATGTATAACTTCTAACTTAAAGTATGTGAAGGGGGAATGGAATGATTTTTAAAAATCCAAAAGAAGAGAGAGGAACGCTGAACAGTACCTAATCAGGTGGTAGATACAAACTCAAGTATATCCGTAGTTACGTTAAATGTAAATGGTTTAAATGTTCCGGTAAAAAGACAAAATGTGTCAGAGTGTGGTGGGGGAAGGGAAGCAAAAGCTATCTCTAAGAGATGTGTCTAAAACATACCAAAAAAATAAAACCAAACCCGTTGCCATCCAGTCAATTCCAACTCATATCTCTTAAAGAAACTGAATCAGTGAAAAAAATTTTTCACAAAGAAAACTCTTTACATCCAAATCCCTGTACCAGGAGGTTCTACCAGCTATTTAAGGAAATAATGCCAAACTTGGACAAACTCTTCCAGGAAATGAAAAACGTACATTTCCCGAATCATTTTATAAGGCTGATATAATTTGTTATGAAAACCTGACAAGAACAATATGGCAAAGGAAAATTATAGTGCACTGTCATCATGAATATGGATGTAGAATCTATAAACAAAATTCTAGCCATCTAAATCCAGCAATATATAAAAAGGGTATTTATCATGGCCAACTTGGGTTTATTTTTAGGCTGCGAGATTGCTTTAACGTTAGACAATCAGTATAATTTGCTACAATAACACATTAAAGGGAGGGTTGAACTATTAAAAATCAGTTTACAAAAATCAATTGTATTTCTGTATAACAACAGAATTAAGAAATGAAATTTATAAAAAGAAACCATTTGCAATAGCATGAAAAATACCAAGTGCTAGGAATAAATCTAAGGAGGCCTGGTGGTACAATGGTTAAGTACTTGGCTGCTAACAAAAAGGTTCGCGATTTGAACCCACCAGTCCCTCTGCAGGAGAAAAGACCTAGTGATCTGCTCCTGTAAAGGTTACAGCCTAGGAAGCCCTATGGGGCAGTTCTTTTCTGTCATATAGGATCGCTGTGAGTCAAATCGACTTGACAGCCCACAGCAACAGGAATAAATCTAACGATATGTGCAAGAACTCTACAAAGAAAACAAAAAACATCACTGCAAGAAAATAAAGATGACTAAAAACATAATAGTGTTGTTCCACGTTGGTAGATTGGAAAACTTAATACCGTAAAACGTGAATATTTGTCACACTGATCTACATTAAAAAAAAACAAAAAACAAAACCAAACCTGTTGCCATCAAGTCGATTCCAACTCATAGCAGCCCTACAGGACAGAGTAGAACTGCTCAATAGGGTTTCCAAAGAGCACCTGGTGGATTCGAACTGCCTACCTTTTGGTTAGTTGCCATAGCTCTTAACCACTGTGCCACCAGCGTTTCCACTGATCTATGTAGATCAATGCGATCTCAATAAAAATCTCAGTAGATTTTTATTAGGAACTTTTCTAAGCTGGTTCTAAGATTTACATGGAAATGCAGAGGACCAAGAAAAGCCAAAATACTCTCAAAGATGGCAAAGGCGGAAGGACTTTTACTAGCTACCGAGATTTATTACAAAGCTATGGTAATTTAGACAGGTGATCCTGGCAAAGAGACAAGCGGACACTAGAAGTGAATGGAATACAGGTGGTCCCTGACTTATGACATACAGACTTGAGTTACTACAAACCGCACTTACAACAGTGTTTTTAGGGGTTTTTTTGTACATCTTATCGTTAGTAATACATACTACGTACAGGGTTGCAGCATGTAATTTGCTGTTGCTATCATTCTCAGATATCCATTCACAGATGTTCGAAGATAGGATTTATAAAGCTACTGATCATAGAAGGCAGTAATAATAAAAACTAAAAAAAAAGACATTCAGCCTATGTCAGAACCGACTTAAGGTTGTCGGAAGTCAAGGACTGCCTGTGTAGAAATAGAGCCACACGTATGTGGACACGTGACTGACAGAGGTGGCACTGCAGAGCCCTGGGCAAAGGGTAGCCTTTCCAGTGAGAGGTACCGGGACGTTTGGGTATCCAGATGGGAAAAAAATAGAATTGGACGTCTATCCCATACTATTCACAAAAAAAGGAATATATGTGAAAAGGAAACTAATAAAGGTATTAAAAGATAATACCATAAAGGAAGAGATTGATAAATTCAGGTGCATCAATTACATTGTCCGTTGAGACCAGGAAGACAAACTTGCAGGTAGGAAGGGATATCTGCAGCGCTTACACCCATAAAAGTTCATGTTAAAAAGATTGGCAGTTCGAACCCACCCAAAAACCTCAGGAGATAGGCCTGGCCATCTGCTTCCAAAAGATCAGAGCCTTGGAAACCCTATAAAGTTCTGCTCTGCACACATGGGTCGCTATGAGTTGGAATCTACTCCACAACAACAAAGTCATTCACAATGTTGTGTAACCATACCATATTAAGACTGTGTTGTTATTAAACAAACAAACAAACCAAACCCATTGCCGTCGAATTGATTCCGACTTACAGCGGCCTACAGAACAGAGTAGAACTGCCCCATAGGGTGTCCCAGGAGCGGCTGGTGGATTTGAACTGCCAGCCATTTGGTTAGCAGCCATAGCAGGGTTTCCATATTGTTATAAGACTCCTGTAAATCAACAAGAAAAAAACAGACAACAGGCATTTCACACAAGAAAAAAATCCTGTTGTCCAGTAAACATATAAAGGAGCTCACGCTTGTTTGTAACTGAGGAAATGCAGTTCAAACCACCATGAGAAATGACTGCCCACCCACCAGAATGACTAAAATGAGAAAGTCCGCAGGTTAGCAAGGATGTGGAGTAAACGGGAGCTCTCATGCGCTGCTCATAGCAATGTATTTGACACACGTGTGCATTTGTGCGCCCAAGAAACGTGTAAAAGAATGTTTATAGCAGTATTTATATTAGTCCCAAACTGGAAACAACCCATCTATCAACAGGAGAATAAACAAATTGTGTTTATTCATACAATGGAATTCTGTGCGTTAAGGCAAATGTTACTGTTATATGCAATAACATGGGGTTGAATTATAAAAATATAATGTTTAAACAAAAGAGGCAAAACTAACAGTAGTGTTTCGGGATGCACCCTTAGGGATAAAAGTACAAAGTAAAGCAAGGAAGCGATCTCCGTAGAAATCAAGAGAGAGGTCACCTTTTGGTGAGAGGGGGCTGTTGTGATTGGGGGTGGGCACGTGGGGGCTTCTGGGGTGTTGACAGCATTCTATTTCTTAATGTGGATGGTGGTTACGATGCTATTCTTGAGTATTAACTTATGTTCATTTATGTTTCATGATCTTTTCTGTAGGAGTATTTTCACAGGAAAAAGTCATAAAAATGGTTGCTATGGCTGATAAAACAGCAAAAACATGCAGTGGTCTTTGCAGGAATGTCTCTCTAACTTAGTGTCTCTTACATGACAGGGTTGTAAAGTGAGGGACCACATGGTTGCTCTTTGTGATCGAGGTGAAGGTGGGGATTTGCTGTCCTGTCCGACCACTAGAATACTGGATGATCTCCTCAGTCACAGAGATGTCATTGTTGTGCCTTTTTCTAAAGATACAGTTAGGTGAGAAAAAACAAAACCAAACAGACCACTGTACTGCAGCTTTATTCAGTGGTTCCCACCTCAGACTCCCCTGTGCCCTAGTACTTCCCCGAATCAGTAATGTCAGTCCTCAGATAGTTTACATTACTTCAGAAAACTTCACTGAAATTGTGTGTTAACTTACAATAAGAGCAGACAAGTGTTTGCAAAACTTTAAAATGTTGGAGGTCCAAGAAGAGGAAAAACTAGTGAAGGGGTCGTTGGTGATTAAACAGGTAAAGGGGCCATTGGTGATTAAACCAGTGAAGGGTCATTGGTGATTAAACCAGTGAAGGGGTCATTGGTGATTAAACCAGTGAAGGGGTCATTGGTGATTAAACCAGTGAAGGGGTCATTGGTGATTAAACCAGTGAAGGGGTCATTGGTGATTAAACTAGTGAAGGATCACTGGTGATTAAACCAGTGAAGGGTCATTGGTGATTAAAAAGGTTGGGACCTTCAGTCCAATTTTAAGGATTTTTGTTCTTCCCCAGCTTGCTTACACCCTTCTTAAATGCTTGGTTGATAACAATTGGAAAGAAAGTTGATGGTTCAGATAATTTTTCCCTAAGTTTGAACTCCTTGAATTAAGTCATTTCTGACGTTACTTCCATCATCATAGAAGTGCAGCAGGCTGTCAGGTGGGGGTTGGAGGACCCTTTAGTAGAGGCGGTTCCCAAGGCAGTGCTCATGACAGCAGCCTTTTCACACCCGGTAAGCATGATGCTTGCCGTGTAATGGTGCTCCCCTGTTAGGGGTGTCTCTGTTAGATGCGTCACCAGATGAGTTAAGAAATGTAAGTGTTGAACTGGCATACCTTATACCCAGGAACTGTTTTTCTTTCCAAAGAGTGGTTTACAAAATATTCACAGTAAAAAAGATAAAATTTCATTTAAATTTTTAAATATATTTTTCTTTCAAGTGATTCTGGGGTTGGCCTCTGTGAGGAAAAGGGTCTAGACTGTGATGTCATACTGGAGACAAGCACACCTTGGGGCCCCAGAACCGGGGAGCTGAATGCTGTAAGTAGCTTGTTTCACACTTCTTTGTTTATGTAAACAGTTGATTGCTTTAAATGGAAATTAAGAATTTCAGCTCATCTAGCATTTACTGACTTATAACAAGGTATTATGATGAATTGATAGGACTACAGGGTAATAGGACATATTCCTTGCCCTCAAAGAATTAATAATTAACAGATTTAAATTTTGAGAAAATAGTATACCATGGTCTTCACAGTTTTTATTATGGACAAATAGTGATTTGAGGAATGCAGGTACAGGTAGTCTCCAACTTAGAGCGTATTCGAGTTACGACGAACCACACTTAGAACCATCTGGTGGTGGTTTTTTAATCTGTTCTACATACAGTGTTGCAGTGTGTGATGTGCTGATGTCATCATTCTCATGCCAACGCCCTAAAAAAATAAAGATTGGATTTATAAAGATGCTGATAATAAAAGGCAATAATAATGAAAACTGGAAAACCAATAAGCTATTCAGCTTACATCAGAGCTGACTTAGGACAGAATAGTCAGAACGGAACCCCGTCGTAAGTCAGGGACTACTTGTGGTATGACTGGGCTATTTTGTTTCCTTCTAGTTCTAGAAGCTTTTTCCTGTATGAGTTCTTATTTATTTTCATTGTAATTAGGAATGCATTTAATTTGTCGAAGACTTCAAACTGAGATAATATTTTTAAGGTGACCAGAAAGCTTTGGTTCCTTTGACCCCTGTTACGGGCCAAGGAGTCTCTGTTGGCCTGTGAACTTCTCACCTCTTTATTGGCTGGAGTATCATTTACTTGAGAAAGTGAGATCTTCCATGTAAAGTGCTTTACAAACTCCAGAGGGCTGTATGCTCGTTCAGTCATTAACATTTATTTGTGAATTATATACAAAATAGCAAATTGAGTTTCTTAAATATCCATGTATGATCTGGTTCCTTAATTTATAATAAATTATAAACATCAAAAAGTTATTGAAATAGCTAAAAAAATAAATAAAATTACATTATTGCCACATGTGATTTACTTGTAATTTGGAAACGGCGCTGGAAAAATGTTGATGCTTCTTTTTTATTCTTAAACATCCACTCTCCCCTAGGCAAGGTGTATTAAAGATTCGTTTCAGCCTGAGTTTTAAATTATGTTTCAGCCTTTAAGAGAACTATGCTTGTAACACCCTCAGCCCCTCTGTAAGATCCATATGAAATAATAAGGCACGAGAATCTGGGCGGATGCAGATTTATTCATCTCTTATTCCTCTGTCTTTTTTAGTTTTTGTCACTAAAACACTGGACCCTACAACTGGTAAGTGAGCAGTTATGTTCATCTTCTGTGGATCTCTTTGTCCCTAGATTAAAGTTTAATGTAATTGAATCTTGTCAGTATCTTATTTTACAAATTTTAGCTAATTGTGTGTCTTTCTTTCCAGCCTGTACAATTTTTCACTTACTAACCATGCCATTCAATTAAGACAGACACATACTCCACTATCTGCCTGTATAATCCTTATGCGTGGCTAAGAGACTCTTTAAAAATCCCTTGTAAGTCGCATTTAGGACATTGAACAAAGCAACAAGTCTATTAAATTCCAGTTATTGGTCAGTTTGTTTACCTGTTTGCCGTTACTCTGCCGTCTGCCACCAACACTCGAGAGGGAGAACGGAGTGGGCATTCGGGTCATGATGACGGGCAGAAGGGAGGGTAGATAGATGCGGGAAGTGATCCAGGGCCCTTCGCCCACACAATGTGCACATGTGCTCGCCTAGGACTCCTTTAGTATTGGAGGTTATTGTGTTACAATTAGTACCAAGGGGCATACGTTCCCTTGAGTGATACAGAGCTACATTTCAGCAAATACTGAGTCACTGTTACGTGCCTAGCACTGTGCTAGGTTCTGGGAAGGAAATAAAAATATTTGATGTGATGTGATTCTGTCCTAAATGTAGAAATTCTTTCGTCCATTTCCTGGATGTTGTGCAGGGACAGTGGTCATTTTATCAGCTCGTGTTTGTTTCATTTGTCCAAAATGAATTTAGATAAATGTGTCTGAAAGAATTCATTAGATGTGAGACAATATGGCATTTGTGATAGTTTGGTTTTTGTGTTCTTTCAAATTCAGAAACAGCAGTCACTATTTTCAGAAGAAGAAGAATACACCACTGGATCTGAGGTCACTGAAGATGAAGTTGGAGATGAAGAAGAAATATCCAGGAAACAAAGTATTGGTTTCTAAATTAAAATTTTTAACATTTTATTGTTGTTTAGGTGAAAGTTTACAGAACAAATTAGCTTCCCATTCAACAATTTATATGCAGCTTGTTTTGTGATATTGGATGCAAACCCCTGAATATGTCAGCACTCTACCCTCTTCCTCCCTGGGTTCTCTGTGTCCATTTGTCCAACTTTCCTGCCCCTACCGTCCTTCTGAAACTTGCTTTTGGGCAAATGCTGCCCGTTAGGTCTTGTATAGTTGATTATTCTGAGGTATACGTTCCTCACTGGTGTTACTCATTTTATGGGACTGTCTATTATATGGCTATAATATGAACTTTGGGAGTGATTTCAGTTCCAAGTTTGAAGGGTGTCTAAGGGCCATAGTCTCAGGAGTTCCACCAGTCTCTATCACACCAGTAAGTCTGGTCTTTTATGAGTTTGAATTTTGTTCTACATTTCTGTCCATGACACAGCCCTGGTGGCACAGTGGTTAAGAGCTCAGCTGCTAACCAAAAAGTTGGCAGTTCAAATCCAGCAGGCACTCCTTGGAAACACTATAGGGCAGTTCTGCTCTGTCCTATAGGGTCACTATGAGTCGGAATCAACTCGATGGCAGTGGGTTTGGGTTGTTTTTTTTTTTTAGTTTAGCCAGCCCCCAGTTCTGTTGTCCGACACCTCAAGCCGGTAAGGGTTCTATTGTCTGCAGCTCGAAGTTGTCAGTAAAAGCATTTAGTCAAAGGTGCAAGAAACTCCCAAATCTCACCAGAGTAGTTTTGTTTTGCAAGTTAGACACCCCACCCTGGGTTCTGCCTGCCTTTTCGCTGGGCTTCCTAGGGCCTCCCATGCCCTTGCATAGTTTAACACTCAGCTAGGAGTCGGGCAGAGTTGATATTCCAATTTTAGATCTCAGATCTTCTGCAGCTTCTTTGCTTCCAAAATTTCCCCTTTGAATTTCCAGCTTTCCCTCTGGAGCTAGTGAGCTGCTGTTTTCCTCCCTGAGCTGGGGAGGTTGGGAAGTGCCCTCAGGCAAGAAAGCCAAAACGCAGTTCTTAACTTCGTGCATCTTTCAGGTGTAAATTCAAATTACTGCCTGCTTTTTATCATTTGCCAGAACCTTCAGTTGTTTATTACAGTTGTTGATAGTATTTCGCTTCTGTTTTTATAGTTATCTTTGGAAAGCATTGCCTGAACTCTTCACCTGTCATGACCTGATGTCCCTCCCTGTCATGTCTTTTAGCCATTTTATCACACTTGGTAATCTCCCCATTTAACAAAGAGACACAGGTCAGAGGGTTTGCCAGAAGGTAACTGTAATTACCTAGATGGTTAATATTGTTTTGCTTTTATTATAGCATCTTCAAGGTTGTCTTCTGTGTAGCACGTTATACTGGTTTTCCATGAATAGCAGTGATATCAAGTTTCCTTTTAAATGATATAGCAAAAATTGTGAAGATGGTATATTAGCAATTGATGTTTGAAAAAATAGCGATCCAATATTTTAACCTTATCCTTATATGCTGCTTTTAGAAAAATGCTTTTTTCCCTCCTCCTTTTCTGCCTCTCTTCTTTCCCCAGTAAACTCTCAGCCAGAACAGATTCAGAATATTGACTCTAAGAATGCCCTAGACAAGAATACAACTTACGCAGATCGACTTCCTTGCAAGATCGTTCCTGTCCTACCTCCAGTAATACCCTCCCAGCCCCCTGCTCCTGCCTGAGCAAATGACTTCATTAAAACGTTCTGTGAATTTTTCTCTCTTCTCCTCTATTCTACATTTTGGTGTCGTTTTATATATAACATTTGGAGTTAGAATATGACTCCACTGTTCAATCAGCTTCACAGAAATAAATACATATATCTATTTCCCCAACATTTTCCTGTATTTAATTTCATTGGGACTTTGAGTTCATTGCCTCAGTTTTTCCCCAAAGGTTTACACCAAGTAAAAAGAAGCAAATTGATTAAAATGAACCCCTGTAAAGCAATTTCAGTCTGACTCCTCCATATATTTACTTTTATCCAGAGGTAACTTGTCAGTTTTAAAAAACAATGGTTTTGCTGTTTGGAAGTAGCAGGTGCATTGGAGCGTCATGTGAGACTTGTGCTCATAACATTGACCTTCTGTTTTCAGGGAAAAAGGAGAAGCCAAAGAAGTTCACTAAGCCACCGAAAAAGCAGATGTCTTCACCCTGTGCCCAGAAGAAAGAAAAGGCATTGGAGAAGGTAATTCTGAACTATCTGTTATTATTCGAAAGTTCATACGGAGAAATAAGCAAGTGTAACCGGGAAAAATCCAAAAAAGAAGAGTGACAAATACTGCAGTGGAATGCTAGCAATGTAAAACTGAATGAAGAAGTTCTTTGCAGCCGAAGACATCTCTAAAATATATTGACAAGTGAAAAAAGAACGATGCAGAAAGTATGTATAGTGGCATAGGTAGGAATAAGAGGACAGTAATAACCACAGGTGATTAGAAGAGAAACCGTGGATTCCAAAACTGTGTGAAAAACTGGGGCCTTTGGAGGTGTCCGAGGGCAGAATGGGGCTGAGACAAAATCCATGCAATGACAGTGAACGGGTTGTATGTTCATCTTTGTGTTAAGTACCACAGGGGCATGAATGAATGACTTCTGAAGGACTGCCTGCCTTGGTGCCCTAGGGTCTGACAGATAAAGCTGGGTTCAGATTCTTTGGACAAGTTTCTTAACCTCTCTGAACCTGCTTTATTAATGAGATAATAGTAGCGCCTGTGCCACATGGTTGTTGTAAGGCTTGCGCGAAATAATGCATGTGATGTTCTTGTACGATGTCTTACACAAAGCCAGTGCTCAATAAAATAAACTCTTCTCGTTAACAGCAATAATAATAATCACTAAACATGTTCCACTTGGGCCTTAACGCTGTCTCCTTTTTTGCAGTCAGCTTCTAGAGATGCATCTCCTTTCATGTGAGTATCGCTCCTTAATCTACTTTGATGTCCATTCTGACAGCAGCAGAGACCCTGACTTCTGTTGGATTTTCTCAATAGTGTGAGCATGCAGAAGAATAAGTGGGATACCACAAGATCCTTGCGATTCAACCAGGATGCACAAAGAGAGGATGGTAAGTTTTAGTTTGGGTAATGTAGCAGTTGGGTATAAATAACACAGATGGGGATACCTATCATTTTATAAAGTACGCTGAATAGATTTAAAAATTCCATCTGGAATGAGATCCAGAATTAGCACATTCTGACTTAAGCATCAACCAGATTTGCATAATTAAACAATCCCAGTGGTTAACGTATTGCATTATGTGTCTGTGGTTTTGAGAACGTCTCTCAGACTGACTTTTGCCCATGACTTTCACTCTGAAAATGACTGAATATGTTTTTGGCTGATTTACAGTAATCTAAAAAGCAATACGATTATCTTTGTATTCCTCATTTTACCACTTGCTGCCTCAAATTCTTCAAAGATTCATAGATGTATGTGTCTATAAAATAACGTTACAAGATATTTTCACAAACCCTTGGTGATTTCAGTCTTCTTCAACAAGTAAAGGTTGTAAGTCATCATAAAAAGTAAGGATTACTATTTTTTTACCTTCAGATCAGCGGCGGATGTCTGAAATCACAGGGCACCTAATAAAAATGAGATTGGGTGATCTGGACCGAGTCAAGTCAAAGGAAGCAAAAGAAGTAAGAGTTGTGTACTGGTATTTCTTGCTTAGAGATGTCTTCCTACTTCAATTTTTAGCACAAGAGAGTAGAAAGATGTTTTAGGCAGAATTTTAAGAGTAATTTTAAAATGTTTTAATATTCTGTAGCAGTTTAACCAGGTTTTTCACATCAGAGTTTTCCGCCTTATTATCCATGGTCCATAGACCCTTTGTAACATACAGAATAAAGTGCATCATTGCTGAAAGTGTAATGGCGTACAAGAGTAGGTTACCTGTGCATTGTGGAGCAGACTGGCTATCCAAAGGGCTGACTTTATGGAAGTTGCTGCTTTTGATCAACTCTGCATGTGACGCTTACGTGTTGTCTCTCTTGTCAGTTGTTCTTTCTGAAAATGATGAGTAGAAATACTGTATTCTTGCTAGAATTACATATTAGTAATAACATTACGTATTAGCATTAGTATTGGTATTATGTATTTGCAACACCTTTTGTTCCTCAGTCTTTTATTTAAAAATTTACTCCCCCTAGAAGAGTTTTAAACAAAAACATAGGAGAAAACCTTTGTGGCCTTGGATTAGGGAAGTATTTCCTAGGTACGACACCAGAAACGTAATCCATAAAAGAAAATATTTGACAAATTGAACTTTTTCAAATTTAAAAGTTCTTTTGTTTGAAAGACACTGTTAAAAGAATAAAAAATCAAGCCATAAACTGAGAAAATATAGGTAAAACACTTATCTAATAAAGAATTTATATCCAGAATATATTAAGAACTCTCAAAATTCTAGTAAACAACCCAGTTTAAAAAATACATAAAAGATTAATCAGACACTTCATCAGAGAAATACACAGATGACAAGTACGCACAGGAAAAGATGCAAAATTATAACTGTTCAGGGAAATGTAAATGAAAGCCACAATGAGATCCCACTTACACACCAGCTAAAACAGCTAAAGTTGAAAAAACAGAGCAGACGTCACCGAGTGCTGCTGAGGCTGTGGAGCAGCTGGAACTCTCAGACGGAGCTGGTAGGAACGCAGAATGGCCGCTTCAGAAGACAGTTGGGCAGTTTCTTAGAAGGTTCAACACAGTCACCATACAAACAGCACACAGTGTTTATAGTGGGTTTACTGACAGTCACCATAAACTAGAAACAACACAAATGTCCTTTACCTGGTAAACGGATAAACAGACTGTGGCGTGTATAAAAAAGAAGAAATTGCTGATACATGCGACAGCATGAGAAAATCTCCTGCGTGTTATTCTAAGTAAAAGAAGCCAGTTTCCAAAGGCTACGTAATGTGTGACTCCATTTATATCACGTTCTGGAAAGTACAGAGCAGATCAGTCGTTGTCAAGGATTGGCAGGGCGGGGATGAGTTGAATTAGAAAGGTCGTAAGGGGACTGTTCTGTGCCTTCATTGGGACAGTACTTGTACAGCTGTATGCATCTGTCAGAACTCAAAACTAAGTTGAGAAGGGTGCGTTTTACTGTGTGTAAATTATACCTCAGTACGCTTGAATACAAAAAATAATAAAATTACTTCTGAGTTTAAAGAGTAATGCCATTTTAATAAGCAGAGTTTCTGTTGATGCCGTCAGGTCCTAACAGTGTTGTTCCTTTAATCTGCAGTTTGCAGGGGGTATTTATTCCAGGCTCGAAGCGCAGGTCAAGGCCTCGGTGCCAGTCAGTGCACGGCAGAGCAGCACAGAGAAGAACACGAGGTAAATCAGCGTAAATGAGCTAAAACGCCACTGGCTGTGTGAGTGGTTTTTTTCTTAGGTTAAATCATATGAGCACTGGAAGCACATCATTCGGTCTTTTGTTTCAAGGATTTAATCATCAAAGTATTAATCAGAGCCTGTGATTAATTATCTTGAGCTTTGATAGGCTTCTGACCAAATATTTCAGTGTAAGACCTATGCTTATATTAAAAACAAAACCTGTGTTTACCTGAGTCTAACTAAACCTTCATTTACCTGAGTTTAACTAAAAAGCCTTGAGCACAAAATTTAATGAAAGTACAGTGTTTTTTATTTACGTTTTCTGTTTATTGAACTCAGCTGTGCTCTTAGCCAACTGCTGGTAAAATGTAAGCTGTAGTGCTACTGTGAGTTAGCATTTTTGTACTGTTTGTTGATGATATATTATTATTTTACATAAATCACTGAAGCCTTTCCCATTCTTTGTTTTATTATTTTATTTCTCCTAATAAAATCTGTTAGGTCCTGTGTCATTTTATTTCACAAATTTTCTGTTAGGATTAATGGCTGTTGAGATTTGAGCATTAATGCTTCAAATCCATATGCCTTATCAGCAATTTTGAAATTCAGAAAGCAGAGGTTTTTTTCACAGATTTGTGGCATTCAAACTTCAGCTGAGCTGGTATGATGCTGTTTATAGTTTTTATGATCTCACCTAATGTAAATTTTCATTTGTTTCACTGAAGAAATACTGTGTTTGATTATGGGATGCTGCTCCAGATCCATAAATCATAGTACATGTGCCATAATGTCTCTCAGAAGTCTAAAAATATCTGAATTCCAAAATATATCTCACTCCAAGTGTTTTAGAAAATGGATTATAGAGCTGTGTGAAGTTTCACTTAACTTTGATACTGTTGAGCAGACGTAATACAAAGCAATAGCAACTTTCTGTTGTTTTAGGAGCGACTCTGACCTTCTTTTCTGTTTAAAAAAATGTAGGTCTAGAAGTCGTTTTGGTCAAGGGCGTCCTGCATAGAGCACCTTATGATGTAACTAAAAAGATAGACTCCTGGACATCTGAAATTGCTCGCTTCTGGAAGATCTTCAGAAGGATAACTTCTAAATATTTTAAGTTATTAGTTATTCTTGCAAGCCACATAAATCATAATGCTAAGAGAGATACATAGTTAGGTCTTACGAAAATCTAATTGTAAATATAAAACTTTTTAAATCTAATTTTCTTTTTAGTATGATACTAGGCAATGTAGAAAACAATTATTTTTGAATTTGCATACTTAAGACTCCTAATATTTGTTATCCTTGATTTATTTCTTTGAAAGAGAAGAAGCCTAAACTCTTAAGTAGCTAAGATTTTTTAAGACCGTAAGATGTCGGGAACGCAGCTGTAGTGTTACGGCGCATGTGCACTGACTGTAGGATGTCTCTCGGCGGTAGATCTTGGGGCAGCATTGAGAACTGCTGTTTGCTGAAATGCCCAATGACGCTGATTCTTAGTCGGCACGAACGTTAAGAAATGACGGATCTCGAGACTGCCTCACACACAGTTTGAAGGTGAGGTGTTTCCTGTCCTGGGCAGAAGGGCTCATTTTGTCAGCATTACTCCATGGAAAGCACAATGTTAACCCAACTTTCTTTTTCTTTTGGTTTTTAATGCTTATCTGTTGGTCAGTTCAGCTGGAATTATTGATTATTACTTCCTTCCTCTGTGAAGCTAGTATCATTCGGAATTTCTTAAAATAACTGTTGTTAGTTTTAGGAAGGTAAATCATTTCAGTTGTCTGAGACACCAGCGTACAGTTCTCAGGGCTCTGAAGCCCAACCATATTTCTGTAGCCATTCAGGTAGCCCCCTAAAAGTTATAATTGTAATTACTTTGGAGATACTAGGAGAGATTCCCAAATACATTCGATGGGTGAAAATTTACATATGTTCAAGAAAAATCACAATAAAGTTGTGTTCTATAGATCATGTTTTAATTTTTCTAACCAGGCAGAAAGCTTGCTCAGGGAAAATTTATTCCAAACCATAGCATATGATAAACTATGTGTTTGGAAATTACTTATGTGTAGGTCTCTGAAAAATTGTAAGATGCATTGTTTTTATTTTTAGTCTTCATTTGCCTTCTAATTGAAATTCTCCAAATTATTTAAATTCAAGAACAAACTATGATAAAGTGTGACAGAATGGCAATTTCTATTGAAATGTTGAAGTGTTACACTCAATTTAAACCTACAGAAATCACTATTTTAAGTGAGTGTTTTTAGTTAATGAAGCTAGATATTATTTGATGTTTTATGTATGGATTTGCCAAGGTCTTTGAACTTCTGTTTGGAAATTTTGTTCTAGTTCATATGTTTTTCAATTGTTTGATGCTTTTGCAATAGATTATAACATTTTTATTTTCAAAAAATGTTTTGTAGTACATTGTGTGTAAGCCGTGTTAAAGAGCAAAGTCTTATTATAGTTTACTATATTCTCTGATAAACGCTTCTGGATTTATATTAAACAGTGCTGTGACAGTCACAACTAAAAGATGAAAATATGCGCTTTTGGTTTTTTAACTGATGGTGAAAAGACAAACTGCTTCTCCCCTGGGGTAATTGTACCACCGGATTGATTTCTTACAAACTAGAGTTTGTTAGAATTTGATTCTCTTCAGAATGTGCTCTTTATCGTGTTAATGTCTATCTGTTCTACCTAGCACAGATACCACCACCATTTTAAACCGTTAATATTTTGTTTGCCATATACTTTGAGGTTTTACCTTATGTTAATTCTGAATTCACATCTCTTGAATTGAAATAAATGTTAATGACAACGGTTGTTTGAAGTTCCTTGACCTGAATTATTCCATCTTCTCAGAAGAAAATCTAGATGTGCTCTAGGTGACAGGTTTTTCATGGGAAGTTAGTTCTATTACAAGGTGAACTTTTTTTAAATTTTAAGATTGTTTTAAATCATGTTATCCTGGTAATGAGTCCTTGAGTGTTGTGAACAGTGAACACCCTTTGCTGCTGCTAACCAAAAGGTTAGAGGTTCGAGTCCACCCAGAGGTACCTCAGAAGAAGGACCTGGTGATCTACTTCAGAAAAATGAGCCAATGGAAACCCTACGGAGGACATTTCTGTTCTGACACACATGGCGTCTCATGAGTCAGAATGGCAGCTGGTCTTTAAATTTTCAGTCACTATACCTTAGAGGATTTGATTTGATTGAGATTAGTAAGGGAGAAGGGTCTGAGAGATGAGGTAACTGAGTGTCTGGAAAGGAGTAAAGATTGAGGTAGGGCTGGGAAAGTGAGGGCATCCTGTAGGCGACACACTTTAGATTCAAAAGATACAAATAGATTGAAAATACAAGGATGGAAGAAGATACCATGCAAACAGTAACCATAAGAAAACTAAAGCGGGTATACTAATAGACAAAATAGACTTTAAAACAAAAAAAGTTACTAGAAATAGAAACATAATGATTAAAAGTGTCAGTCCATAGCAATTATATATGCACCTAACAACAGAGCCCCAAAATTCACGAGGCAAAAACTGACAGAAATGGGGGGAGAAATAGATAATTCAACAGTAATGGTTGGAGACTTAAGTACCTCATTTTAAATAAAACAGTGAGAAGACAATGAAACAGAAGGCTTGAACAAGACTACAAACCAGCTAGACCTAATAGAGGGCACTCCACTCAACAGCAGCAGAATATACATTCTTCTTAAGTGCACATGGCACATTCTCCAGTACAGATATGTGCTGGGCTATAAAACAAGCCGCAGTAAATTTCAAAGAGTTGAGTAATACAAAGTATATTCTTCAACCACAGCGGAATGAAATGAGAAATCAGTAAGAGAAAGGTGATTTCTTGTGTCCATTCAACCAGCTCCTGACCCTCCCTGCCTTCTCATCTCACCTCTGGACAGGAACTGCCCATTTAGTCTCATGTATCTACTTGAGGTAAGAAACACTTTCGTCATGAGTATCATTTATGTCCCATAGTCCAGTCTAATCTTTGTCTGAAGAGTTGGCCTCAGGAATGGCTTTAGTTTTGGGCTAACAGAGTCCAGGGGCCATGTCTTCTGGTGTCCCTCCAGACTCAAGTTAAACCATCAAGTCTGGTCTTTTTCCTAGAATTTGAGTTCTGCACCCCACTTTTCTCCTGCTCTGTCAGGGACTCTGTTGTGTTCCCTGTCAGGGCGGTCATTGATGGTAGCCTGGCACCATCTAGTTCTTCTGGCTGATGGAGTCTCTGGTTTATGTGGCCCTTTTGTCTTTTGGGCTAATATTTTCCTTATATCTTTGGTGTTCTTCATTCTCCTTTGCTCTAGGTGGGTTGGGGCCAATCGATGCATCTTAGATGGCTGCTTGCTAGCTTTTAAGACCCCAGATGTCACTCACCAAAGTGGGATGCAGAACATTTTCTTAATAAACTTGGTTATCCCAATTGACCTAGATGTCCCGTCAAATTTTTAAAAATTGATTTTGTAGGATTTCTTTATATCCTGGATTTGTTGTTGTTGTGTGCCGTCGAGTCAGTTCTGACTCAGTGACCTGATAGGAGAGAGTAGAACCGCCCCCATTGAGTTTCCAAGGCTGTATAGTCTTTACAGAAGCAGACTGCCACATATTTCTCCTATGGAGCAGCTGGTGGATTCGAATTGCCCGGCTTTCAGTTAGCAGCCTAGAGCTTAGCCACTTTGCCACCAGGGCTGCTTATATCCTGGATACTAGTCCTTATTGGGCATATGCATTATGAATCTCTTATTGCAGATTGTGGCAAGTCTTTCCACTCTGTTGAAGGTGCCTTTGTTCATGGAAATTGTTAGTTTTAATGTCATATTTGCCAGCTGTTCCCTTTATGGCTAGAACTTTCTGTAAGATTTGAGACACCTTTTCCTGTCCATATATTTACTCCAATATTTGAGAAATTTTAAACTTGATCTTTTCATATTTAGATCTTTAATCCGCTTGGTATTGACTTTGTGTACGTTGTAAAGTAGAGATCTAATTATTTTTCTCTGCTTAGATTAAAAAATCATTCCAGCACCATTCACGACTTCTCTGCCGATTTGTAGTGCCATCTTCCCGTGTATGTACAGGCACTTTCTGAGATCCTTATTCTGTCCCATTGGTCTCTTTGTCTGGTCCTGTGCTGCAACTACACTGTCTTGATGCCTGACTTTATAAAAGGCCTTTATGTGGTAGCGTAATTCCAGCCACATTGTTACATATTTTTTCTTTTTTTTAAAAACAGTTTACATGGTTTAAAAATTAAAGATTATAAAAATACTGCTATCTGTGAGGGTCCGGTCAGGGAAACAGAAACCATACTAGGTTTCTTTAATAGAGGGATTTTAATATAAGGAATTGATCAAACAGGCACTAAACCAGGAAAAAAAAAAAAAAAAAAAACCAAACTTATAGCCATTGAGTCGATTCCAATTCATAGCAATCCTACAGAACAGGGTGGAACTGCCCCAGAGGGTTTCCAGGGAGTGGCTGGCGGAGTCAAATTGCTGTTGGTTAGCAGCCGAGCTCTTAACCACTGTGCCACCAGGGCTCCGCAGGCACTGTAGGGTTTAAAAGCGAAAAGAGGATGTTGAGGTAATAACAGTAACTGCCGGGAGCATCTACCACCCTCAGGGCTGGGGGAACGAGTGAAGAAGTTGGGGGGCCTTGCGGAGCTGGAGCCCACACCAGTGAGGATGGGGCTCTGACAGACTGGTATTGGTGCTTCTGAGGAAGGGGCCTGTCCAGTTGGTGCTGGTCTTCCTGAGGGATGCACTGAGGCTGTTTCTGGGAGTGCCGAGGAAAGCTGGAGACGAGCCAACTGCTGCTGCCAGAGAAGATCCATTGCTGAGGTGACACGGACGGAAATAGGAAGCCAACAGGAAGAAACGTGTCCCGCTTACATCCCTTAACAAATGGATCACATGTATCAGGTGACTCCTAACTGAGCCTTCAGTCCAGCCTGGCTGGGTAGGCAGGGTGTACGGGGTGGGGTCATGGAGCCGTTGGAGGAATGAGGAAGCTGAAGCTCAGGTCACTGGAGCTGCCCAAAGTGCCCCCAGCAAGCTCCAGGCCCCCCTGGCTTCCTGCGTTTGTGAGACTGGACGGAGCGGCTGGGCCCTCAGTCAGTGCTCCACTGCACCAGAATAGCCAGGGACCCTGAGCCGGGGCCCAGAGTTCAGCTGGCAGAGGAGAAACGTAGTGTCCCAGCCCCCGCATCACAAGGCATTAACACAACAATGAATTTGGAGCTAAGAAGCAATCACTTAATAACTGGCAGGACAAACAGTAAAAAGTCTTATCCTTATTTCCATCTGCCCTGTTCCCAACCCCATCTCATCCCCACTGTTCTTATTGTCTTCTGTATCTTTCTAGCAGTTCTTTATGCATACAAAATCAAATATATAGATTTTCCTTTTAACACAAAACCTATTATATACACTGCTTTGCACCTCACTTGTTTAGCATAATGTGTCTTCGAAATCTTCATAAGAGTTGAGAGTCTCCTCATTCTTTTTAACGGCATAATGTTCCATTGAATGGATGTACCATAATTTAACAAGCCCCCACTGATGTACATTTGGGTGGTTTCCAACCTTATGTTACAAATATTATGCAACAAATAATTATAATAATGTCAGTAACGTCATTTTGTCATGTACAAGGACATCTGTAGGATAAATTCCTCAGAGTGGAATTGCTCGGTCAAAGAGTTGAACTTTAATATTGTCAATTTATCCTTCTTATGCACCTTTTTACAGTCTCCCCAGTAATGCATTAAATTACCTGTTTCTCACAGCCTCACAGACAGTGTTGTCAAACGTTCGGGTTTTTGACAGTCTGATGGGTGAAAAATAGTACCTCAGTACAATTTTAATTTGCATTTCCTTTGTTTTAAATGACGTTGAGTATCTTTCATATATTTAAGAGAGATTTATATTTTCAGCGATCTTTCTGTGCATATCTTTTGTCCATTTTGCTATTGGATTATTGCTGTTTTTCTAAATTTCTAAGAGGGCTTTATATAGTAGGGATGCTAGCTTTTTGCCTGATAGGAATAGCAAATAATTTTCCATTTTATCATTTATATTTTTACTTGGTGAACCATACCGGGAGTTTTTATTTTTAGCTAGTCAAATTTACCAGTCTTTCATGACTTTTAGATTGAGTCACATTTAAGTCACACCTCAAGGCTATAAAGAAATTCTCTCATTTTCTTCTAGAACTTGCAATGGTTTTACTTTTCCCGTTTAAACATTTGATCCATTTGAAAGTTTTCATGGTATAATGTGGAAGTATGGATCCAGCTTTGTTTTTCTTCCAGATAGCTGTATAGTTGTCCATGGTGTCAATAAACACACTTACTGAACAGAATTCTTTCCACCACTAGTTTGAGGTACTACATTTATCACATAATAAATTCTTGCTTAAAGTAAACCCCAAAATGGTTGAAACACAATAGAGGTTTATCTCTAATGTGCATAAAACCCAAACAGGTGTTGCTGACTGGCAGGCAGTTTCCTGTGTCCCAGTGGTAATTTAGGGACCCCGGCTCTTAGCTTCTGGCCCCACCCTTTTGAAAACATGGCTTCCAAGGTAGCCATACTTACCTGCCTCAAATCAGAGACAGGGAGAGTGTGGAGGATTGCTTGAGAGGTGCTTTTACTGGACAAGCCTGGTATTGGCGCAGGTCACTTTTGCTCATGTTCAATTGCCTTAAACTGTCACATGGCCACACTCAGCTGCAATTCCTCCATTTATAGACACTTTTCCTGACTAATTAGTATTCCCTTTTGCCTTCTCTGTTT